GCAGGTGCAGCTTCCAGGCTGTGACTCTAGGAAGTTTGAAGACGCCGTCCACAGCCCCTTCAGTTCTAAAGCTCTGAGATTGTGCTCTCAAAGCTGACTATGAGAGGCCAAGACATTTGCAGAGAGAATAGGGTGCAGTCTGCAGCCACGATTCCTTTCATGAACTCTGCATCCCAGCAACTGTGAAGGAAAAGTCCAATGACAAACTCCCAGTCTTCCCCCGTGACCGTGAGAAAACCCAGCAGGCCATTTGCAAGAGGGCCTGTCACGGGATGTGATTCTTGGCCTAACCAGACTTTCCCAAACAAGAGTGTGAGATAAGGTTAGAGGAGAGGCTCTGGGGTCTAGAGCCCACCCACAGCTCTGCTGGGGAGCCCAGGTGGGCACCTCGCCCACAAGAGTCCCCACCCCAACCCTGAGTCTGCCCCCTGACCAGACTGCCAAGAGCTCAGAGCCCTGTAATCGACTTCTCAGGGGTTCTGAGCTTTAAGGGAAGAGCGGTAACTCTAAGGGAAAGACTGTGAAGAGCCAGCGCCTGACAAGTCCTCTGAAATGTGACTGCCCCTCCCTCCAGGTGGCCCCCCTGGACATCTGAGAGCACTGCGCTGAAACTCCGAGAAGCAGCATCACAGGGTTATACTCCTGCGATGCTGATATCGCAAGGAGCAGGGCCACAGGGGAGTTTGGGCATGCCACGGGAAGGACCGAGCAGAGGTAGACCGGTCACGGACATGCAGGGAGGAAAAGAGGAAGAATACAGAGACTGGGCCCACTCTGCCACTCCCAGGTGTCCCTGGGGAGCAGGCCTCGGTGGCAGAGGAAATGAGGAGGAGGAGACAAGGAGACAGGGGCTGGTCAGGGCAAAGCGCTCTGCTGGCAAGAGTGTGGAGGCTCTAGGAGTCTTTCAGCGCAGTGCTGTCAGATGTCCAGGGGGCCACCTGGAGGGAGAGGCAGTCATGTTTCAGAGGACTTGTCAGGCGCTGGCTCTTCACAGTATTTCCCTCAGAGTTACCGCTCTTTCCTTAAAGCTCAGAACCACTGAGAAGTGGATTACAAGGCAGAATATGACCCCAGGTTCATCTCAGTTGACCATGAAAAGCATTTACTGAGCACCTACTATGTGTCAGCCATTGTGCTGGGTGCATGCAGAGCAGATGCCTCTCCTCCTGCCCCAAAGCTCCCAGTTCTGTCTGTTCCTCTCTTCCCCACCCAGCTGCCACCACCCACTCCATCTTCAGGAGTTTTTCCCACCAAATACCCCACTTTCCCCCCTTCCTTGTGATTTCTACCAGCAATTTTTATTTTAAGGATTCTTCCCCGGCTGAGTACCAAGAGCCTAAGAGGCAGCAAAGTTACAATCAGAAAGAAGTTCCCAAACCTCAGACTTCTCCTAGTATGTATTCATCCCCATCGCCCCTGCAGAGCCCCCTCACCCTCCATCCCAGACAGTCACTGGACCCTCCCAGTCTGTGAACTAGCCCCTCCCAGGCTGGGTTGGTTGCTAGCCCATGACTCAGGTCAGCCTGCCACAAGGTCTCCGTCCCACCCCTGCCAACCTTTTCCAGAACCTGCCTGCTGCCCTTCATTCTGGCCTCCTGGGTCCACCAGACAAAGGTGCCTTCCCTGTGTGCTCCCAGAGTGCCCCCCTACTCCCAGCACTAGCCTGGTGGAAGCCTCCCTTGGCTTTTCCTGAGGGCCTGCAGCCCGGGGAGGCCAGAACTCTGGAGGCACCAGCCTAGAAGTGGAGGGACAGCCCTGGGCTAGAGTAGTCCACTTGCAGGTATATTGCAATTATTTAACAAGTATCCTTGTCAGTGGATGTTCCAGTTATTTTCCATCTTTTACTCTAACAACAGTGCAGCAAAACCTCATATCCATGTCAGAATACATGGTGTCAGTACGTGTGTGGGGAAATTCCTAGAAGCAGCATCAGAGGGTTATACCCTTGCGATGCTGATATCACCAAATTGCCACCCAGAGAGTTGAACTTCTCTTCCCACAAGCACAGTGTTTGCAGATGCGTTGATTATAACTTTGTGCCATGTCCCCTCTGGTGAGAGGGGTATGTGGGGTAGGGGTGTGTACATCCCCCTCACTGATGCCTTTTGAAATGTGTGCGCCATGGTGACTTGCAGGTGAGCTGTCCCCTTCCCACGTGCTGTTGGGCTTTCTCCCCGCCTCCTAAAGCGTTTTTGTTAATGGACATTTCAGGCGCTTATTCTACAGCGGGCACTGTGTCAGGTGTCAGGGAAGGCAGTGGACAAAATCGAGGCCCTGCCTTCAGGAAGCTTCTGGTTGGGGGAGACTGACAGCCGACTAACAAGTAGACACTCTGTGTCCGACTGAGATATGCAATAGAGAGAAATGAGTAAGCCAGGAGGGAACGGCATGCTCAGTTACACACAGGCTGCTCGTGGAAGACCTGGCTGGTGAGGTGATATTTGGACAGAGCCCTGAATAGTGAGGGAGTAAGATCTGTGAATATGTGGTGGCTGAGAAATCCCGGGTGACAAGAACACAAAAGCCCTGATTCAGTAACATGTCAATGGGATGCACACTGATGGCCGTCAACACCTGTCACTTTGTGTGACACCACACCATTCTCTTCCCTGGATTATCCCTTGCTTTCCACCTGCTTTTCCTTGAGCAGTTCAAGGTCTACCTCTGCTCTTTCATCCCCAAAAGATTTCTTTTCTGCGTGTCTGCTGCAAACCCAGTTCTTGGCCCACTTCTGACTGAGATTCAAAGACGAAAGAGGTTGGGTCCCTGAGAATGTCTCCGGTCAGTGCAGCCAGCATCACCCTGTGCCCTGGACTCCTGACGACCTTCATTTAGCAGAGACTGCCCTTGATCTCCAGCACCTCAAAGGGAATGCCTCTGGCCCCCACTGGGAGGGCCCTTAGACTGGGCGGATGGATAGGCAACATGACAAAGAAGGGCAGAGGGAAGGAGGCTGTGTGGTATTCAGATTTCAAGCCAGCAGGCGGAACAGCCCCCTGGGTATGTGATTCCATCTCTCCTTAAATACATCATGCTCGGGTCAAAAACCTTGACTCCGGTTCTCAGTCAGTGAATAAGGATGCTCACCCGAAAAAATGCCTTCCTCTTCTGCTGTCCTCACCCTCTACCCTTGCTTTAAAACAAAAACCAATGTATGAATCATATCAACCAACATTTAGTGAAGCCCTACTCTTGCCAGGAGCTAGGTGTTAAAGGGCCACAAATATGAATATGGCAGTGTCCCAGTCTTCAGGAAGCTGGCAGTTCCCACTGGAAAGTGTCTTTTCTCTTTGTGCGCATTGCCAAGTGGGTGAGAGAGCCAGGGAGTACTCGGGGAGCGAGCAGCAGGAGAGGGCATGGCAGGCTGGGTAATCTGGAAGTCTCTAAAGAATGCTTGGAAGTGCCCTGGCCTTGAAGGGTGGGGAGGTGTGGAAGGCTGAGGTGGGGGAGGGGGGTGGTCCGGTAAATATGTAAGACACCTGGAGCATATAATCCAGATGTGAGGTCAGCTGATGACATGGTGATCAGTGCAGTGGGGGGGTTGGTGGGGTGGAGATGGCACTGAGATGTCTCTAGAGACCGGAGGGGCACCAGCCAGCAAAGCAAACAGTGGAGGGAACGGTTGGTGAGGTTTAAGGAGAGCAGGATGGTAGAGCTTCTCTGAGGCTGTGCCCAGACAGTTTCTCCTGGGGGTTCAAGAAAAAAAAAATGAAATTTAAAATAAAAGCAGAACACAAGAAATGTCAGCAGGGATGTGAAAAACAGAATCTTCGACATTGTTGGAGAACATATGAAGTGGTGTAGCCACTGTAGAAAACAGTTTGTCAGCTCCTGAGGAAGCTAAACATAGAATTACCGCATGACCCTGAGATTCTACTCCTCGGTATGCACCCAAGAGAACTGGAAACGCATGTCCACACCAAAACTTGTACATGAGTGTTCAAGGAGCATTGTTCACAGTAGCCAAAAAGTGGAAACAACCCAAATGTCTACCAATTGCTGAACGGATAAACAAAATGGGGTGTGGCCACGCCATGAATATTACTCAGCTGTACAAAGGAATGAAGAACCGATGCTTGCTACAGCATGGATGAACTTTAAAAACATTGTTGAGTGCAAGAAGCCAGTCACAGAAGACCACATATCGTACGATTCCATTTATATGAAGTGTCCAGAATAGACACACTATAGAAACAAAGGAGGTTAGGGGTTGCCAGGGAATGAGGGAGGAAGGGGACTAAGTGCTAATGGGCATGGATTTCTTTTGGAGGCAATGAAATTGTTCTGGACTTAATGGTGATGGCTGTACAACCTTGTGAATATACTAAAAGTAACTGAATGTATACTTAAAAATGGTGAATTTGATGTTATCTGAATTGTATCTCAATTTAAAAAGAGGAAGAGAGGTTGAGAGAAGGAGATCAGCAAGAAGAGAGAAGCCTGGCCAGGGGCTTGGCCAGTCCCGGCATCGAGCAGGCTGGCCATGGCTTTGATCAGGAAGCAATTCCAGCCTCGGGGTAAGTCAGTGCAGCTGAGGTATTGGAAAAAATCACTTTAAATTTCTGAAAGTCTTAGCCAGCGCCCAGGAGTGCCTGAGAACGTGGTTGAGCCTCCCCTCACCAATCCGGTAGTCTTTATGTTAATTTCATTTCTCTGAGTATTTCCACTGACCAGTTGTTAATAGCCGATGATCTCAACATACTGGCCTCTGCCTAAAAACTCACCTGCAGCCTTGCCGTGCCATGGCCTCTAATCGCAACCTCTGACCTGGCCGGGGCGCCGCAGCCCTACGACCACAGCAGTCCTCCAGCTGCTCAAATCCCGTTGGAGAAATCACCGCTTCCGGAAGCAGCATTCCTGCTGCCTTCTGACCTTCGTGGGCTCTCTGTCTGGCCCACCCCTTGGAGCTGCATCTGAGCTGGGGCTGGGCAGGCTGGCTGCAGGGGGCTGGGAGCTGGCAGCCACCCCTAAATGGTGTTCTGTGCCCCTCTCTTCCACAGCTCTTGCAATCTCAGGATGTGAAGGAAGATGCTGTCCTGTGCTGCTCGATGGAGGTAAGCAGAACAGCTTAGACATCTCCAACCTCACACCCCGTGTGCCCCTCATGCCTCCCAGGTGTGGGCATGTGAGGTTCATGGGAGGCATCCACAAGTCTAGGGCAAAAGTATGCCGAGAGGGCTTGTGGACATGGACTCCTGCATCCAGAATTGTTAATCCTGCACCCAACAAATGTTGATGGACGACCAGCCCACCACAGGCTGGAGGGAGAAAGAATTGCTGGTTCTCTGGAGGGACAAACCTAGTGCTAGCATTTGTCCGCTTTCCCTCTGCCTCCAAGACTACCTCCTTGCACCCGCAAATCATACACATGACCTAAGAGCTCCCAGGGGAGATCCCCAGCCCGCAAATACGTCCCTTGGCTTTGGTGGTATGGGGTTTGGGGAAGGTACCTGAAGTTGTCATGTTGCCACCCTTGAAAGGTGCCACTTCTGTCCTCAAGGTGTGACCAGTGGCCACTGTTCACTGAAACTCTTCCTGTGGGGTCTTCCAAGGGGAGCAAATTTTGCCCTCCATACACAGCCCAGAGTCATTCCGAGGGGCGTGCAGTGGGCTTCCAGTGTGAGCATTCCTCGCAGCTGGCTTCTGACCAGCCTCGAAGGCTGCCCCCAGGACCTAAGGCCAGAGTGTTGGTAACCCAGACAGCAGTCTTATTTCTATGGGACAGTCATTCCACTAATGTGTTGGACTCCAGTTGGGTACCCTATGTGGGGCTTGGGGCAGGGAAGGAGAAAGAGAAAGCATGGTCCCTGCCCTCAGGCAGCTTCCGGTCTGGCTAGGGATAGATCACACACAGACAGGGGTGTAGAGTTAAGTGTGGGTGCAGAGCATGCACCTCTGGGGATCAGGGGAGCAAGATCATAGGCACAAGGGGGTCAAGGAAGGTTTTGTGAAGAAGGTAGAGCCTTGAAATATGGGTAGGATTTGGCTGTGGGTAGGGCAGAGATGGGGGTTGAGATTCTATCAAGAGGACCCACAGAGGCTGCTGGCAGTGGGTGTACTGATCTGGACGATTGGGGCTCCTTCTTCCCAGCAGGGGCTTTTCAAGGTTATTGGGGGCCTGTCTTGAGGACCCATGGACTGGTCTTATGCCCAAGTTCTTCTTTCTTCCCCTTTGTGTCCCAAGTGTGGGCAGAGGCCAGTGCTGGGGGCAGGGAGGTGGGGTTGGGGGCAGGAGAGTCAGGAAAGAGAGAAATAGGAGACCCCATCCCCACTTTCAAGTTCCACATGGACACACGCAGGCCATAATGATAAGCTCATTTCCAGAGAGACATCCTAGCAGGTGAAAATTAACATGGTGCAGCCTGTTTCCCTGTGAAGGCAGCTGGTCACACAGCCATTGAGGGTGTGGGAAGTAATCAGGAAGGCTTCCTGTAGGAGGAAAGCTCTTGGGTGAAAGGGAGAAGCAGCCTGTTCCAGGCGAGGTCTTTTTTCAGCCCTGGGCATCAGGCTATGTCCTGACCCCTCTTATTCCTGCCACAATTGGTTGTTAATGTGGGCTCTCACAGTTGGCCATTTCCACCTCCCCACCTCCCTGTCCTTCTCCCATGGCAGAGGCCTGGGCCTGCACCTTCCTGAAAAAACCCAGCCATTTCCTGCCCTAGTCCCCAGCCCATCTAACCAAGGTGGGTTGCGGGGCCATTGTAGGGCCCGAATCCTGTCCTACCCCACACTTCTCTGCCTGCAGCTGCAGAGCACAGGCCGGCTGCTAGAGGAGCAGCTGCCCGAGATGATGACTGAGCTCCTGGCCAGCGCCCGCGACAAGATGCTGTGCCCCTCAGAGTCGATGTTGACCCGGTCGCTGCTTCTGGAGGTCATCGAGCTCCATGCCAACAGCTGGAACCCTCTGACACCCCCCATCACGCAGTACTACAACAGAACCATCCAGAAACTGACAGCCTGACAGCCAGGGGGCCTGGCGGGCAGCCCTTGGGCAGCTGGGGCCTTGGTGCACAGGGCCAGATGGACAGGCGGCAGGACAGGGGTGGCCCTGGCGGGAGAAAGAAATGAGGAAGACAGGCAGGGCCAGCGGCCGGTCTGGAGCCAGACGGGGAAGGGATCGAATCCCTGGGAGAAATGCCCCCCGTCTAGCCCCCCTCAGCCCTGAGCATGCGGCAGTCACACCAACAAGGGAAGCATGTTTCTTTTTCCTGGTGGCCCCGGCCCTGGCCCCTCCTCACTCCTGCTCCTCTCCCACCTCCCATCAAACGCACCCCCACAGGGCTTTGTGTGAGGGGTTCCATCTTTGTGACTCCTCTGAGGCCTTGGCAGCCCCGCACACCAGGGTACCGCTTGGGTCAGAAAGGACCTCAGAAGGCTGCAAAAGTGGGTCGGAGACGGGGCTTGCATTGTTCCCACATGCTGTCAGCCGCAGTCGCCAACTGGCAGCAGGCGACGTGTAGCAGATGTCCGGGAGGACAAAGGCGGGCACGATCCCCACCAGCCGCCAGTAATTGACAGCCTTTGTCCGCCACGGTCGAACTGGGGAACAGAGGCGATCTCCTCTAACCTTCGCGCTCCACCTTCTCAACTTCAATCCGCCTACCTTCAGCCCACCCCCACCCACCACCCCCGCCTCGGGCCTTGGGGGCTGGGAGCAGGGAGGGGAGCTGGAGTTCGCAGTTCTGTTTGCACTTGTGTTTTGTTGTGTTTTATTTTTCAAAAGTTAGCTTCTTTGAAGTCTCTTCTCTCAATGAAAAGAATCCGTGATGTGATCACAGCCAGCACCATGAGGACCCCCTGATTAGTGGGAGATCAAACCGGCCCCCTCTGCAAGGATGCTAGCCACAGACAGCTTGCCAGTAGCCAATTAGGGTAATTGGAAACTTCTGCCTGGCAGGGGTCCCCACTGGAACCCTGTGCGCTTCAGCCCCTGGCTTCCCGCAACGTCTTTCATTCTAGCTGAGCGCTCTCAAAGGGCTGTTACTGTTGCCACTTGGGAGTGCATTAAAGCCCGTCCAGGCCCAGGGCCTTTTGGTGAACTGGGCACAGAAGGAGGCTGACAAATTAAAACCCAAATGCTAGGTAATGCTTCCTGCTCCACACACAGGTTTTGTCCCAAGCTCTTACTCGGGGAGAGTGGGGGAGGACGGCTGCCTGGCTCCCGGGGACTTGTCTCACTTCCTCCCCAGCCTGAAGGAGGGCTCTGTCGCTCCCCAGCTTTCACATGGGCATGATCCAGAAGCACAGCCCTCCCCCGGCCAAGGCCCGTATGCCGCGGGAAGACTCTGGGCACTGCAGCCCCTGGGCTGTAGGAGAGGGTACATTCCCTCTGCCACAAGTAGGACAGTCGGGCAGAGGGGTGGGCCGCAGATGCATCTCCCAAGGCTGGGAACAAGGTTGGGGTTTCTTGGAAGGACTGGGTCCTGCAGAGCAGCCCTTTCTCTGCTGGAGGAAGACGACGGTTGCACACTACAAGGCTGGCTTTGGGGTGGGCCCTGGCCCCAGCATATCCCCATCTCTGGGCTGGAACCCTCAGTTTGATGAGCCCCCAGAAAAAGACCTTAGAGGCCGGCAGCTTTCTGATTTGCCCCCTTCTGAAATTAGTCACTCCCTGGATCCCCGGAGGCCCCCGGCTGCCTGGTCCATTCAAGCTGGCAGGGACGGGAGCTGGAGGAGGCTTCCCTTGGTTGACTCCGAGCCTGGGAGAGCAGACAGGGTTGGGTGGGGGCAGGTTCCCAGTACTCCCTGGCTTTCCCCACCTGCTGTAACCTGCCCTTCAGCCCTGAAAAGGGAGCTGGTGTCAGTCCCCAGAAAGAGCCTGCTGAGGGCCCAGGTTTACCAGGCACAGGCTGGTGGTCTCTGCCAGGAAGCCCATGCTGCCCCTGGCTTTTGCCTTCTCCCTCCTTCCCAGGCTTTCTGAAGCTCTTCCTCACTGCCTTCCTCCTCAGCCTGGGACCCAGGGACACCAGAGGGCCCCACAGGAAGCCTTGAGGGAAGAGCAAGGCTGATGTCAAGAGGCTCAGAGAGGGCAGGCACCAGGGAAATCATGGTCTCAGGAGTCAGGCAGCCCAGCCAGGCGAGCAGCTGCTCCCAGGCAGCCCTCAGAGACCGGCACCTGTGCTGAAATGGGCCTTGCTTACCTCTAGTGAGGGTGTGTGTGTGTGTGTGTGTGCACATGTGTGTGTGAACTAAGCAGGGCCCAGAGGAAGGGCGGTACAAGCTGAGGAGGCAGGGGACTGGGGGCTACCCCCACCGACCTAGGGTCAGAGAGCAGGCTGCAGGAAGGTCCCAGGCCCCCCATGTACAGGGGGTGATGTTCCCTGGAAGGCAGAGACGGGGACACGAGGGCCCCTTCCTCCTAACGGCCTTCATGGTCTTGCCTCAAGGCCACCCCTCCTTGACTGTTAGGATCAGGGTGTGAAGAAGTGAGATATAAATATGTATACATATATAAATATATTTTTAATTACGTGTCGTGTCACCATGGCTCCAGCCATATGGTTTGCCCAGTTTATTCCATTGCTTGAAAGCACTTCCTGGCCAATACAAGTAACAATTTCAGGTGTTTTTCTAAATGCAGGTCGTTGCTACTTTTTCAGACATGGAAGGAAAACATTAAAAAAAAATTATTTTAAGGAAATAACAGTAAAGCCTAAAATCTGAACTCTGAGGCAGCTTCCCATGGATGACTACTCAGCTAGGAACTGAGGGGCAGAAGTGAGTGCCCCGCAGGCCTGCTCCCTCCCCACTGAGTAAGGAAGGCCATATCCAAGCTGACCTCTGAATGTATTTGGTGGGAGGCAAACCTGGATATTGCATTTCTGACGCTTGTGTTGTTTTCCCTACCTGCCTGCGGCTTTCTTGGCACACTGAAGAGGCAAAGTCCGGCCATCTGACGTTGATCCAGTCTGGGTCTCTCCCCGCTGCCACTCAAGACGAGATAGGCATTGTTTTCCTCTCCGGCAGCTAGCCTGCTCACCACAGCCCTGCTCGCCTTGGTCTTGTGGCTTTGCCTCAGCTCTGGGACCGCGGCCCCAAAAGGGCTCCTCACTGCTCCTGGAGAAGGCGGGAGCCCTGTGTCCTCCATGGGGAGTGTGCACCCCCAAACTCAGTTTCATCTGTTTGTCCTTAATCTGTCTATAAACCTTTAAGGTTTAGGGATTGTCCTGTCCATCCATGTAAAATGTACATGTTGGCCGAGTCGGTATTTATTCTAATTTTTATTTTTATTTTCTCTGAGGGATAGGGAGGAGGGATGTGAGAAATGTACCACTGACCCTGCTCTGGGCAGCTGATGGGGGTGCCCAGATGGCCAGGCCACCACAAGGAGCAGCCCCCCAGGGCTGCCCGACACCGAGTCCCAGTGTCTTATCTGGCATCAGGAAGCTGCCAGGGTTCCTCAGCTGACAAGACTCTCAGGGCCTGCCCGTGTAGTCCTGCCCCTCAGCTGCCAGGCACTCTGTTGGGAATCCTCTGGCTGGGCCTTTGAGGATGCAGAGCAGAAAGAAGACAACTGTGCTCAGGTCACGGCACAGAAGGGCTGCCTGCCCACCTGAGCCAGCTGGGAGCCTGGTGATAGGACCTACCTCCCGGGAACAGGGGCCTGGGGCTGCCCGCCAAAGCGGCCATGGAATTCTGCTACTGCAAACACCTTCCCTCCCTCAGTCTGTTCTGCTTTCCAGCTGAACCCAAACTACAAGTGGGTTTAAAAAATAAACACCAAAAAACAAAAACACCCTGAATTCGTGCTCTTTGTGTGTTTGGCAAAAGGAACCTTTCCCAAAGGCTTTTGTGCCTCAGCTGGTGCTGGCAGAGATCTCCAAGGAGGCCCTACCCAGGCTATAAGCTGGCTACAAGCTAATGAGATTCCCCATAGCCTGGCTACCATGGGGAGCAGGGCAGGGCCTGGGCTCTGGGGCAGGTTGTGAAGGAGTGGTCCAGACAACGTGTGTGAAGGAGATGTGTGTCCTCCCAGCTGGGAACTGTGGCCTATCCGAGGAGGTAGGATTAGGCCGGTCCTGCAGAGAATAGTTCCCACGCTAAGGATTTGGTCTGCTGCAGGGCTAGCCGCCCATCCCCCAAGCCTACCCCTTCTTTACAAATGTCATGGGAGCATTTGGCAGTGACTCATTTCAAGAAGACTGAGACTTAGGCCTAGCAACTTTTAAAAGCAAGTGGCTGTCCAGTCCCGGTGGGTCAAATCAGTCTTTGATCAAAGGGTTCCATAGGGACCCCATGATTTATTTTCCTGTGATGACATGTCTCTTGTTTTGCACAATCCCTCCCATGGCAAGAGACCGGGGACACTGCCTCCTGGTAACAGACCTGCCTGGGGATGCTCTCTGGCTAGAACTTGTCAGTCTTTCAGCTTCTCAGGGTGATGGCCAGAGTCTCCACCCCCGCCATATGTCCCTGCCTGGCCAAGACTGTGGCCAGGAAGGCCCAGGAGCCTGGCGAGGACATGTTGAGATTGGTCACTGACCAATCCTGAGTCACATAACACTGTGCAAAGACAGGCAGAAACACACGCATTGGTAGAGGGAGATAACATTTTAAACAATTGAGAAATTCGTCAAGGCAAAATTTTTTACATGAATGCAAAGGAGTAAGGGCAGAGAGTTGGAGATCAGAATGAAAGGTGTTTGAAGGTAGGGAAGGAGAAATCTTACCAAACACTGTTCACCAAAGGAGAAGATTTTTCCAGGTGGTTTAGTCCCAGTTCCAGAAGGCTCTAAATTACTGAAAACCGAAACATCACCCAAACACTAAATGCTTCCATCCTGCATTTCACCACTCTCTCTCTCTGCTAATAGGTGTTATCTGTCCTTCTGAGGGTAAGTCACATTTACACTGTGGTCTATACAAGGGGGAGAGGGCAGGGAAGTCTATTTATTTTGGATGAATAAGCTAGAAAACACAGGCACAAGCGATGTGTCTTTCAAGCAGCTTTTAAGGTTCCAACACAAAAATAGCAGCAGAAGAAGGGAAGGAGGAGCTATGCTGCAAAGTTGGTGCTGTTACATAAAAGGATGCCGTGTAATTCGTGTAAACTGTCTTTTGGGTTTCCTGCAGCCCAGTTGCTCAAAGCAAGTGGGAGGAGAGGGAGACCCTGCTAAGGGGCTTTTCAAGGTGTGGGGTTAATATCTGCATTGCCTGAGAACTTTTAAGAACTATATACTGAATATAGCACAGAGAAGACAAGTAGTGACTCTATAGCATCTTATATGCTGATAGACAGTGACTGCAATGTGGTTGGGAGGGACTTGATAATATGGGTGAATGTTGAAACCACAGTGTTGGATTCCATCATGTGGAACCTTCATAAGATTGTGTATCAATGATACCTTAAAAAAAATCTACATACTGAAGAAGACACGCCAACATTTTCAGAATTTACTGGTGGGTGCATATGTGCTGTGCACCTTCTGTGGGGGGTGGGAGCAAAGCTGGTTGAGGTTGCCACCCACTAGTCCAGGAACATCGCACAGTGATGACGAAGAAGAGCATGAGCATCTTGCAGAATTAATGTCTAGAAACGGGGCTGCGTTGCTGCATTCCGCACCTCCTTTGGTGGTCCAGGTATTCCCCGATTTTCAAAAGTTCACATCATGCCACCTCGCTTTTATGAAAGATCCACATATGTACCTATTTTTACTAACTGAAAGAAATAAGAAGACAATTTTCATTGGTACAATAAAAGGAGAAAAGCTACAAGATTGTTCACCATTTGTTTGCAGCTCTCTGGTGTGGAGGCAGCACACACCCCAAGCAGCGAGAGTGGCCCACACCCAGCCCCTTCCCTAGGACCACATCTCAGGATCAAGCCTCCACAGCTTTGGACTATGTCCATGAGCATCTGTGATTTATGTCAATTTGTTTTGTGCATCTGTTAACAAGATATGTCCTAAGCCATCAGAAAAGCCTTAGAGAGGTTATTTTTGGGGTCTGGAAACACTCAAAAAATGTCCATATACATTAATGGTAATTGTTTCTTTGTTTCATGCCATTTCAGCTTACATAGGAGCACTCTGCTTTCAGATAGCGGAGGGAACCTGTCCTGGGATTTGCCATCCCAGTTGAAATGAGGCGGGAAGGCACATTTGCCACGGGAACAGGGCCTCCGGTAAGTTGTTCAGTGTGGAGTTGGGGCAGTGTTCTGACTTTTGTGAGTCCCAGGCCCTTAATTAAGCCTTTTTTAGGTTCTTCCTCCTTAAAATAATTGCATTTTGTGACTACATTAGTGTGAAGACAAATATATTAATGCTACTTATTAAACTTTTATTTCAAACTTAGGAATTCATTTCTTAACTCTGATATTTTAAAAAATGAAAGCATTTCAGAGGCTTCTGAAAGTATCGTGTACCCTAGGTACTGTGCATAATGATACATCGGCCCTGCATGGACATCGAACCTCAGCAAGAAAACCCACCTTTCCCTGCTACCCACCTGACCTCAGGATGAGCCAGGACAGAAGAGGGTGGGTGGGGGTGGCCAGAGGGCAGCTCACACGGCAGGGCTCCAGGGCAGCAGGTGGCCCATGCTGGAAGTAGATGCAGTAGCTGCTTCTGCCCCAAACTGGCTGTCAGCCAGGCAGTCCTGAGTTTGAGGGGACCAGCTGTGTCTGCCTGACCAAAGAGAGCCCAAGAGTCACACAGCACTTTATCCTTCCACAGCCAAGTTACCTAGTCGCCGTCCAGAGCCTGGGAAGGAAGTAAATAACGCTCATCCCCATTTGAGGAAGCTGAGCGTGCATTCCATATGCTTGAATGGTACTTCAGAGTTCTCAGATGTAGATCTTGATGGACCCTCACAACAGCCCTGCCAGGTGACAGACATTATTTCACTCCATTTTAAAGACAGCAGAAACAGGCTTATCCAAGCAGAGTGACAACCCCATGTCATGTGACTAGTAAGAACAAAGGCCAAGCCTTAATCCTGAGAACCGGGCGGTGGGCATGTGTGGGGACCAGGCTGAGATTCAGGCTTGTGGCCTCCAGCGCCTGTGGCCACCTTTGTGCCAGAGTTCCCTGGCCCTGCTGTGTCCCCCAACTCTAATCAGCCCACTGGCTTTCAGGAACAAACGGGCTCAGGCCAGGGCTCTCAGGCACCCTGGCGACCCAGCAGAACATACAGGGATACAGCCCTCAGAAGTACACACATGGACGGGAAGCTCACAACTGGCAGGTACCCTGTGCCTCTCGCATCTGATGAGGGCCAGGGTTGGGGCTCTGCCATGCGCTGGGTTTAGAGAAAGACAAGTGCTGGGGCTGGGGAGGGGACAGCAACTCCTAAAGCACGTTGCCAGGAAAGGAAGGTGTGCTCGGATCTGTGTCCATTTTACTGTCATGTAACTCTGTGCAACTAATTTTGTAACTAATAAGCTTGAAATCTCAAGGACTTCACCACTTTTCTTTACCAGTCTACAGATGGGGTGGAGTTTGGATGATCTTGGCTGGCTGAAAGAGACCCAAGCCCAGTCTCTGGCTGACAGACAGTGACTGGAGGTAAAGTCCAGCACTTTCCTTTAGTGCCACCTCCAGGAAGTTCTCCCTGACTGCTCCTCCAGTCAAGGGTACAGGTCCTCCTTCTGGGCTCCTGTGAATGTGTGTTGCAGTTTCTAAATCTCCACAGCAGATTGGCCTCTGATCACTGAGGGGTGGGAAGCAGGGGTGTGAGGGGCCAGAGTCCAAGAACCAGAAGCACAGGGAGTCTTTCACAGGTCACAGTAGTAGTCTCCCCCTGCTGCCTGGCAGTGGGGCGGACTCGGTCCCACAGTACTCCAGGAGCGAGCCGTCAGTCCCTGCGGGCAGGCCGCAAGCTGGCCTTCTGCTCAGGCAAGGCTTCCCTTCCTCTGCATGTTCATTAGCTGGCAAGTGGGGAGGTCTTGGCAGACAGAGAGGAATCTGGGGAGGAGAAAGAGGAAAGCCACCGGGTTCACGGTGCTGGTCACGGAAGACCGAGGCTCACATGGAGGGACCCTTGAGGACAGACAGGGTCCGTGGAAGGAAGAAGCATGTTTCGGAAACCACAGGTGCCCAACAGCAGAGGGGGCCGCGTCATTTGGAAATGAGCCCCCCACCAGGGATGTGTTCTCACAGCGGCTGTGGCCCACCTCTCAATGGTGCCAGAGGACTCTCTTCCCTGGGGTGCAGGGTGTGGATTAGGGAAAACCCAGGGACCCCTTCCATCCCGAGGTTCTGGGAGGGGAGCAGGGCCTCCTGGGACGCTTCCCATCTAGGAACTGCTGCTGCCCGCATCCCTGGAGAGGACTCCATCCTGTTTCCCCAGTTGACCCTCCAGTACTCCAGGCCCTCAGCATATGAGGGGACTTAGAGCCAGCCTCCCAGTTTACAGGTGAGGAAACCGAGGCCCTCACAGGACAGAGACTTGCCCACAGTCGCAGTGGTACCTAACAGGTATGGGGTGTGTCCAACCAGCCACCCAACAGGGCTTCCGCATCCCACTACAGCTCCTGAGGCACTGTGTCCACCTTAGAGGCTGAGAAAGGTAACCCCCCTGCCCACGTGGCGCCACTAGGAAGAGGCAGGGCGGCATTCAACAGGGTCCCTTCTGCCACCCAAGCCCTGGCTGGTGACATTTAAGCTCAAAACCTCCGTGTTCCCCCCACAGCAATGAGGTCAAGTAAGTCCACTGAGACACGTGGACAGTCCCTTTCAGTGCCGACTGCCAGGATAAGCCTGTGGGGCTGGGCAGGTCACTCAGCATCTCTGAG